TCAGAAAGACATTGCAATTGTCTGACATTGTAATTTCACTAGAAAAAAAAAACACTTTGAAACATATGAATGCATTGTGACAAAGATGCAAAGAAAAATTAATGTAAGTGTTTTATTAAACACAGAATGCTTTATATTAAGACATCAAAAGTTATGCTCAGTGTTTACTGTATCTACACAATCCATTGTTAATGTGTTGTCTAAAAAGAAACAAAATATTAAAAAAAGTGTCATTTATAATGGCTTTCATGAAACCTCATACATAAAAAAATAAAAACAACAAAAAGAAATAAGAAAATGTAAATAAGAGAAGGCATTTATTTTTAAATATTAATTTGTTTACATTCAAATATTCAATACAATGATAGATACTGAAAAATATTACTGTGAAGAATAACATTTCAATAGATTGGGAAGTGTTAGGGTTCACACACAAAAATATATATATATATATATATATATATACAAATTTCCTGGAAATGAACAAAAATGACAGTTATGAAAACACAGTAATTTTCTCAAAGCACAACTAGATTACACATGAAAATTAAATAACTTTCAAGGCAAGACTATAATTAAGAAAAAGTGACAACTGAAGATGGCTATGATAACAACTTGCCAAAAGGTTTATTAGATTACATTTTTCTAAAATACTTGTTTTCAATTTTAAATTTATTTTACCTCATTCAAGTTTTTTTTTGTTTTTTTTTTAAAACCTGACAAATATTGCAGTTAATATCCATTTCAATATTAAAAAAGAATGATTAAAACATTCATAACCAAAATGTTTTTTTCAAAATGAAAAAAAAAAATATACTAAAATAAAATGGAGTTGCTGTCATCAAAAATTCAAAAACATCACACATAACTCCAGTGCCTTTTACAATAATGAATGACATTTGAGCTTCTGAGTGTTTATCAGAATCTTGCAAAATTGTTTTACACTTAGTTTTCAAATTCCATCAACTTAATTTTGAAAACTGAATATTTTGACAATGAGTGAAATGAAAATACGTAATCACTTTTTGACTTCATATAACTTCTTAAAAGCACTGGTTTGAATATTTATAAACATGTTTTTAACTTCATTTCATTTAATATTTAATTTAAACCATTAAATTAAATATTTGTAAGCTAACATTAATATTTCTTAATTTTAACCATTAATTTTGTTTGCAAGTCAAATACTTCATTTATTGTCATTTAAAGAGGACACCATATATATATATATATATATATATATATATATATATATATATAGTGTGTGTGAGAAGGTAGTTAAGATAAGTGATTTTTCTGGCAAAAGCTGCCTCTTAGAGGTCAGAAGTTAACTTTATGAGAACAGACAAGACAGAGCCTTTTACAAATATTTTGCACTGGTTACACTTACAGTTTAAAGATAAAATGTTTGTAGCACATTATTAAGCAAGCCAAATATATCATTCAAAATGCATCTAAAAAGAAATAAATGAATGAAAAATTTAATTAAGAATTAACCAGTTTAAACTGACACCTTTTCCTCCATATATTTAAATTATAAATTATAATTTTGTCATGAAAATTTCACTGAAATATGCTGGAAAATTTGCAAGTTTTCATCTGAAATCAAGTGGTCACAATATGGAAAAAAGATGGTGTCAGTTTAAATTGACATTAGGAAGGGATTGTTAAAGATAGATAGTCAGCAGTACACTAAAGTTTGGTAAATGTTTGGAAGGCTCTTTGGAGGCATTAACTGATATGATTTGAAATACAAGATTTGCTTGGAGAATTCCAAATAGGAAGATCATTGTGAAAATCTATTAAGCTTAATGATAGTCAGAAAAGAGACAAAAAGATAAATATAAAACTAGAAAATAGATATAGACTTAGGCATCTATAGTTCACGTAGCACTAAAAATTATAAGTTTGGTGTTGATAAACATTTCCTTTTACATTAAGTTAATGAAATGTTATGAGTTGTTTTATTACTGACAAGACTGGCTCTATTCTACAAACTTATAGGAAATAAACCCAATTTCCAAAACAATTATTACTCACATACATACCATAATAAAACATGGCAAAACTTTATTTTCTACCCAATAACAGACAATATTACAAACACGGTAAAGAAGATTCTGCAATACAACACACACTGTTTAAGTCAAAGTGTCTACTGGTTAGAAATTAATCTCATCATGTGAAATATTTGACCAGTCAGAGAAAACTAAAACCTTATTTTTCTCAAGCCAACTTTCAAAAAAAGTCTTAAAAAAAAAAAAAAAAAAAAAAAAGACTAGATTTCAACTTTCAGAGAGCAGAAATGCAGCTGTCTCCAAGCTGAACACAAGACATGGCTACACATGCTGAAAAAATGTGTCTGTTGCTTTAAACAAACCATCTTCAACAACAACAGCAGGGATAGTCAGTTAATGACTTCAAATGAACCATCTCCAATGACAAACATGGTTAGTGAATCTTCATTAACAATAAAAGTCTTTTCTCAACCACAGATTTTTTTTATGGACCAACTATTTAAAAGTCTTTTTTAAACTCCAACTTTTTCCAACAGGTTAGATACACACTTTTCGCTTGCACTTAATAATTACCAAGCCCACAAACTTAAAAACTTTGTTGACCCCAAATGCAGGTTCTGTGGTAAATATGCCGAAATAATTGACCATTTTGTATCAGGTTGCACAGTGTTTATAAAACCTGGCATGATAGAATGAGCCAATATCTGCACTGGAAAATATGCAAGTTTTACAGGAAGGAAAGAAGAAATTGGTATGAACATCACCCAGAAATGGTTACAGAGATTGGACCTGTAACAGTTTTATAGAACTTTATAATATGCGCAGGCACAACAATCAAAGTTAACCACCCAGACATCATGATCAAAGGCCACAAGAACAGAATGTGCTTTCTTATTGACATGGCAATCCCTGCAAGATTGTAATGTATCTTCAAAGATAAAAAAAAAATAAATCAAAATACAAGGATATTGAATTAGAAATCTCAAAAATGTGGCACATGAGGACATCAATTTCAGCTGTAGTTGGGAGATCCCAGATTGATTGGGAAAAAAGACTGATAGACTAATTGAATGGATTCCTGGTAGGCCATGCCTTAAGGAAATACAAAAAAAATTGTACTCAGAAATACAGATCATACATTATGAAGAGGTTTATCTATGGAAACTGTGTGTGGTCTTAGGGGTTTTTTTTTTAAAAAAAGAAGAAAAAAAAAAGATATCATGAAGCCTTTTCTGACTTTAGGACTCATAATAACCTGAAATGAGATGTTTATACAACAGAAACCCAAGAGAAGATAATTATATATAAGCTGACGATCAAAGTCTTTTCTAGACAACAGATTTTTCTGTGTACAAACTACCCAAACACCAACTAAGACTGTTTTTACTCCTTTTCAACTCTTGAATTCATGTAAATATGTTCATAAATATAAATGATTTACTTAACAGGCATAACCAGGTTTTCTTCATTTTATTATCGTTTGGATTAACACCTATTCGAATGTTTAATAAAAAAAAAAAAAAAAAAACCTGGACGACCGAATTTCTTACAGGCTCAAGGACAGACAGAAACACTGCTTACTTATGCAATAAAAATAACAATAAGATTAAAGCAAACATTTTACAGGATATTAAAACGAGAAATTTTCCGTGTTTTCTATTCAAAGAAACAATCTAATAATGAACAAAAGTGAAAAACTGAAACTGTTCAAGCTCAAGAATGGTTTAAGGGAAAAATAGATACATTTGGATAATTTGAATATAATCAATATTGAATACAATCAATATTGATTAAATTAAGAGATTGATTTAAATTTTAAGTAATTTTTTTCACTTGGTTGTATTGTATTTTGCAAGAAAATAAGTAAATAATTAACTCTCATCCTTATTTTTGTAAATTTCATTGTTTTATTTTATTCCTTCTCCCCCTCATTAATTTCTCATCTCTTCAATGATACATTCTTTTATAATGCTTTTAACCAATCTAAATTCAATTAAATTCTTCTAAACATCCTTAACAAGGTTTACATATTTTAAATTACTTCAATACAAATGGCTAGTTTGAAACTAAATCTAATAAATTAACTCATTTAAATGGTTAAGAATAAATTAGGGAAATATTTTCAAATAATAGTCTATAAATATTAAAATCTAAATATGGCCAGCTTGATTCATCTCACTTAGAGGTATATTTAAAATGATTTATTATCAGGTTTTATTTAGGGCTTGACAAAACTGGGATTATCTAAATAGTTGAAATAAATGGGAACTGGATATTTTAAAATATATTTTCACAAGGAAAATTTTAATGGCAGTAATTCAGAGAATTAAAAATTGCAGAAATTTATATTAAATTCAATACAATCTCAGTGAACAGTAAAAATGATTTTAGTAATTTCTGACTATGCTCAAAATGTCTTTACCTATTTGAATAGAGGCGAAAAGGTCTTTCCATGAAAATGAAAAATTTAATTATAATTCTAACCTGATATTTTTACTGAAATATTCTGTAAAAAAATGTTTACCTGAAAGGTTCAAATATAAGAAATTTGAAAAAATTCAGTTTAACCAAGGGATTATATCATGGTCATAATTTTTAATGACCTTCTTTTGGGTTTGGTGATGTAATTAAAAAAAAACCTGAGAACATAAAGATAGCTAAAAAAAAAAAAAAAAAAAAAAAAAAAAAAAAAAAAAAAAAAACAGTTGTTAGTTTCAATTATGTCTAAGATAGATTAAAAAATGAGAAAAAAAAAAAACTAAGAATTCTCTAATTTTGAAGATGGTTAGAATTTTTTTTTTCTTTTGTTGAAACAAAAATAATGAAAAATTTCATATATTTATGTAATATTTGTCAACGATAAAATTCCAGATTGATTGACTTGTTTTTTATGGCTTATCAACCTTTTGCTGGTTATTTAAAGCCAGAACATATTTTTCCAATTTCAAGTGGTTATCTGTTATACCACTGGCACAACCAAGATTCCAGCACTTGGTATTCCCAACTGGTCATACATCTAAGTACTAAACAGGCTTGACATTGCTTAACTTGGGTGATCATATAAGAATTGGTGTTTCAATGTGATACAGCAGTAAGCTGATAAAATTCCAGAGGAAAAAAAAAAAACCATCAAAGAGTCTGTAAAATTAAACATTCAGAAATTGTGATAGTTTTATACAGATAGCTACCAAGTCTGCAAATGTTTTGGATACACACACACACACATATATATATATATATATATATATATATATATATATATATATATATATATTCATGTGTGTATGTATATATAAATGGTAAATAGGCAAAATATAGATAAGTAATCAATAAGAATCAGGATTTGTTTATTGAATAGTGACCACTTTTAAAAAGGCAGGATTTTCAAAATTAGTTTCATTTACTTTTTAAAATTGTATGGCTTCATGAAAGTCGATGAATTTGGACAAATTTAGAAGTTAAATTATGAAAGTAACTCTAAAAAGTATGTTTTAAAGGCAATCAGAATTTGATAAACGTTATCCTTATTCTTCAATTGAATAGTTGCTTATCTTTTCTGCACACAAACACATTATACATATGTATATTTTTATATATGCAAAATGAAATCATTTTCAAATTGTAAGTAAACTTCCAGTAACAAAAATTTAACACCTGAGTGCTAATACCATAAAATTTATAAAAAAAGAGAGAGAAAAAACAAAAACAAAAAAAAACACTAATTTTGTAAATCTAATCCTGATAAGTAATCAGTCTTTGAATTAGTTCATAAGTTTGTCTATATGATAAATATATTGAGAAGAAATAGATGGGATCTAGGGTCATGAACAATAAACATTTGAAAAAAAAAAAAACTACAATTAACTCATGCTAGTTTCCTCCTATCACCCCCTCTGCGAACATTTCCATGCACTCAGTACTTGGCATGTTGCACAAAATAGTTTCAGTATTATCCTCCTAATCAGGTTGTCACAGATAATTATTTAATAATTCCTATTTCCATAACTGTCATTTTTATTTGACAATCCCCAGAGTGGGAAGAAAGAGAGAGAAAAAAAAAGCTTCAACAATAATTCAAGATCATTAGTAGAAATAACATAAGACATCAATTTGTGCAAACTTACTTTCGCCATCCAATAAGAGGTTTCTGCCTTTCCTCTTTGTTTTGAAAAAGAAGTGATACAGCAGCAAGACTCCATGCCAAAATGAGAAGGATACCAGCAATAAAGACTCTGATTGGTGCAATGGTAAATGACATCAAACCAATCTGGAAAGAAAAAAAATAAGATTAAGAAATTTACAAAGGTGTAAAAAATCAATAATACAAGAGAAATCATAATAAAAATTTCATTTTATGTCAGTATAAAGCTTCTCTTAGCCAAAATAGTACATTTTAGACAAACGTATTGAATAACGATAGTAAAATGTGCTTTCTTTTTACTTGTAAAATATGTAATATCATCCAAAAATTTATCTATGACTAAGAAGAAAAATCTATATTTCCTCATGAACAATACAATGAGTAAATTACAGGGAATGCTTTAATAATAAACTGGTATCAACGTATATGACTGAAGCAATAAATATAGTTTTTATGTCAATATCTGTTACATATTGGGTACAGCACACAAAATGTGTGTCCTCCACCCTCAGAGTATTTTAATTGCATTGATTTGATTGGCTATCCTGGAATATCAATTGACAAGTGTTGCACCTTGCCTTTATGGAGTGCGTAAGCCAGAAAAGCTATTCAGTTTTTGTGTATTCTACATGCTCAATTCTCCTTGTGATTTTGTTTAACAAACCTACAAAACAAACTGTCTTTAATGTAAACTACTCAAATTACAATGGGGGGGAGAAAAAAAAGCTCTCTGAATCAATTAAAAAATAACTAAAAAATTTTAAAATAACAAAAAGGTAAGATCGTCTAAATTACATTAAATTTCTTAAAAAGTTTCTTTTTTGGAGAGGCAGGGGAGTGAAATTTCATAATTAGGTAAGTTTAAATATTCCATCAAAATTTTTGTTTTTTTTAAATAAAATCAATTCTAACCTTTTCAGGATAAAAAGTAACCATCCTACATAAGATAACATTTTTAAAGCTCTAATGTACCAAATGTATTTACTACACATGTACAGTACTGAATGTATTTACTTTACATATACATACAAATGGGCTTGAGCAAATAAATGACAGAACATGGTTTGGGAGAAATGACAAAAAGACAAAACTTATTAAGAACTACAAGAGACAGGAAGATGTGGAAGGCCATGATCACTAATTTCCTAAAGGGACACAGCACATAAAAGAACAGATATACAATTAATGTTTTTTGTAGAATTCATACACCAGAACTTAAATTACATCACAAGTCTTTAACAGAGCAAGAGTTTTAAAATAAAATCAAATGAATGTATTATTTCAACTTCATAAATGCCAGTCTGATCAGGAACAGAAAGGATTCACAAAGCATTGTGATGGTGAGCTTAAGATCAGGATTGTACATATCACTGATGAATGCAAAAAGCAATAATAGCACAATATGGTATTTCTGATTGTGAGGTTGGGCGAGTGGGGGGGAAGAAAAATCTACTCAGGATAGGCTGATTAAAAGTCCAACAGACTTTTAATCAGCCCATCCTGAGGCATATATATATATATATATATATATATATATATATATATATATATATATGGTTGAAAAGGACTGGTGCAAGATTGTGCCAGTTTGAAATAGGCTATACCCACATGAGATAATTTTGAATTTTTTTGCTGTATAATATACCGTTAAAATAATTACACTGAGCTCTTTTCGGATCAGTTTTAATATTACTACAATCCATCTGGATTATATGCCAACGGATATATATATATATATATATATACACACACACACAGGGATGAGGTTATACTGCGGTACTTATATTCAATGCTATGGTACCCTTATAAAAACAATTCACATCCACGCAAATTATGCTTTCAACTTAAGGATAATTTTTTTAAAATTATGAACATGTTAAAAAATGTTACACTTTTCTTAATAAGGTGGTCATGGGGATTTTCAAAGAAAAAAATTTGATTAGAGCCCTATGCAGAGATATTTTTAAAGAAGAGAGGTAGATGAAAGGAATTTCAACAAATGTTACAAATTTATTTCAATCTCGCAACATTTGTCCACCGGAAATGAAATGATCATCATATATATATATATATATATATATATATATATATATATATATATATATACACACATTGCATAGTAATAATACATTTCATTTTAAAACAGCAATACTTGAAGAGACTGATCCTCTCAAAAAGGAAAGAAAATTATGTCAAAAAGTCAGAGATCAGTTTGACAGTATTTATATTGTAGTAAACAGGAACCCCTCTCCACATCTAAAAAATATAATAGAAAATCAATGATTTTTACCATTTGGGCAAATTCTTTTGAATGCTAGGCAGAAAAAATTAGTTAAAATATTTTTATCTAAGAAATACCACATATTCATGTCAGAAAGTAAAGGATCATTTTGACATTTACTCTACATATTTATTTATTTTTATTTGTTTCAATAATTATTTTACACTGAAAAAGCTATTTTTTTATATACAGTTCCACTACAATGTATCATTGCTTATAATTCTAGTCATCATAATCTGTTATTTGTCAATAAAAATCTTTGATTTTAAAGCTTTTTGTTTATTTTATCATTTTTTTTTTTTTTTAAAGATTTTACGTTAATATTACTTTTTACAAATTTAAAAATTGTCATGGTGCCCTGATTTTTAAGGGGTCCATCAAGGCAATTTTTGCCTGCCCCTATCTTAGGCTAAACTTATATTTATATAAGTGTGTGTGTGAGAAAAATGTATTAAGAGTCTACTAAATTCACAAACTTAAGACCAGGACCATACATAATATCCCATACCAATATAAAAAGATATATATCTCCACTTTCATATTCCACATTTTGCTATTATTATTGCTTTAGTGATGGTCGGTAATATTATGCATGGTTCTGGTCTTAATTTTGTGCACTCTCAATGTATTTTCTTAGTTAATCCATTTCTCTCCTGATCAGATTGGCATTTATTTTATATATATATATATATATATATATAAAAACACTTTCAGTTGTCAGATCTGATAAGGTCATTTAACTTATAGCCTTTCTTCTCTTCAAGAATGCCAACACATTTTCCTTACAGTTTTGTCTTTCATTCCAGCCTGAAGCTGAAACGAACAGACATCAACAAATAATGTCATACGCCTTTCCACTTTGTCTCATCATCTACACTTTTTTGGATACTATTTATGCATCCTACAAATACATGTTCCTCAAATTTAAAGATATGCCAATATTTAATACGACACATTTTATTATGACATTAAGTTTTAACAAGATCTATAACCCCATTCTTACCCCCATCACTTGTAGTAGAAAGTTCCTGCTATTCACAGTTGAGCAATAGAACTGCAATGGCAGGAAATCCCTTCATCTGCAATAAATTGATTTGTGAAGATATTTATAGAGAGCCATTTAAAAATGTTCTATGTCGAACCAAACTGGTAATAAATAATAGAAAGAAAACAATTACGTATGTAATTAAAGACAATGCTTCTACATTTTTAACCTCAAACAATGAGCAAACAATTTGATAATCTTCAGCATTCCATTTCTAAAACATTTAATATCAGATTACGCCTCCAGATTTTACAAGTACATACCAGGTTGAGTGCAAAATTTAAAGGCCTTTAGTTTTCAAATTAGAATTTTGAGAAAAGCTGACAATGACTTTTCAATGGCAACTCTTGGAAGAAATTACACATCTGTTGGGCCCAAGGCAACAATATTTTTTAGTCTATCAATATTTCTTTATATTTTATTTTTGTGAAAAAATGCTTTTTAGAGGAGAAATCATTTTTTTTTTTATAGTTTTACAAATAGAGTTCTCAGATTTCATCAGAAATGGGCATTTAATTTTTATGTGATATTTTAAGATTCTAAAATAATGTTAAAATGTGATTAAAAATATACCTCCAAGTTTTTTGGTAAGCAAAAAAAAAAAAAAACTTTT